GGTCAGCAAATGCCGGAGTAACGGAGACGTACAGAGATCGTTGTTTGCAGCAAAGAAGTACGTAATTTTACGCTCGGCTGACAATACCGCTCAGTCATCGCATGACCTCATTTATTCTCCATATGGCCGCTAAACCCAAACCGGAATTTCCATTACCAAATGCAAATCCTCTGAATGGAAGAACCAGGACATTTGCAACATCAAAGCAGAGCCCGAGGGAAGTGAGCGTTTTGCTATACGGGGCCAATACGTGGATGACTCTCTCCAAAACGCATACTTATTGTCACTTTCCGCGGAGATGAGGGCATTTGCTGGGAAAAAAAAAAGAGAGATCGGCCGCCTTGGGAATCTCTCAGCGCTATGGCACTTATATAGGTATATGGCATGCAGAAATCTCACTTCAAGACGAATCTCAGGCAAGAATGATGTGCTGCTGGTCGCTGGACGGCATACATGAAAGTTGATCCCCTCTTCTCCTCACCAGTATTGGTTTCTCCTCATTTCAGGTCAGTTCTCCTCTCTTCCCTTCTCCAATTTACGGCACATATATACTTCCGTTGTAGCCAATTGTCTATGTCTCTTTTTTCCTTTTCGGCTCAGCTTGATCATGTTTATCCTTTTCCTTTCTTGTGAATAGCACTTGTCCATGAACGTATCACAGATCTTAATGTTACCCTAGACTACCGACTTCAACCTACTTGTTGTCACTGGATATCTTCGTGGACTTACGAGGCTCACAGTTGGGTTATGCCCTCTGACTTGGCAAAGAGTCATCGGTGACACAGCTTCAGTCATGGTGCACCAACCTCAGCACGCACCATCCCCCTCGAAAGGCTGTGACCTCTCTCGCTGGCACTTCGATATAGATGCCTATTTGAACCCGTATCTGCCGGCTCCACCGTGGCGCTGGCTGCCTCGTCCTGTCTCTCATTTCTTGGGATATAGAGGAGATCAACCGCCTAAGGCTGTTGGCAACTTGGTGATTGCCTTTTGGGCCCTCATCGGAGCTTTCTGTGGCGTCCTCGTTGTTGCCGAGGCCTCTTTGCATGTCCCGTCGTTCCAGGCACACCATGCACCCATTATCGTTGCTAGTTTTGTGAGTTACCTCACCCGTGAAATTCCAGGCTCCTGCTATTGCAAACAATACTGAGAGTTGACAGGGCGCCACGGCGGTGCTGGAATTCTCTGCCATCGATTCCCCATTCGCTCAACCTCGAAATATGATAGTGGGTCAGTTGGCAGCGAGCATCATTGGTGTAGCGATTGGGAAGCTCTTTGCCTTGAATCCCCATGCTCATGCCTTACCTCAGATGGGAGGAGCTCTTGCTTGTGCCATCACCGTCGCCTTCATGGCTATCACAAATACCACGCACCCCCCTGCCGGCGCCACAGCCCTGTTAGCTGTCACCGAGGCCTATGAACTGGGCTGGTACCTGGTTCTGGTGGTGATGCTGGGATGCGCGCTGATTCTTTGTGTGGCATTATTGATCAACAACATTCAACGGCGGTTCCCCGTCTACTGGTGGACCCCGCATAGCCTTGCGCGTCCGAAACCCGAGGATGCTGAAAGCGTCACGCTTGAGAAAGAACTGAGTGTCAAAACCGCTGAGTCTGAAGACAGCTCCACAGACACACCTGAGCAAATAATCATCCGACGTGGCGAAGTATTGATGCCTGACAACCTCTGGATCAGCGCAGAAGAAAGGGAGGTGCTGGAGAGGGTCTGTCAACGAATACAATAGATCTACTTGTCCCTAGCTTTCAGCATATAGAGAGCAGCGCTAGAGGGTTATAATGAAAAGTTACACATGATGCTTAGCCTCTTTTTGATCATGTCGAACTTTCCTTCGAACATCCCATCAATATCACTCACTCGGAGAGAGCTTAGGGCTGCTAATGCCTTGGGCTTAAGGCTAAAATCACGTGCCTGGAAGCTGCCCAATCAGGCATGGCCGCGCCACGTACCGTGTAGTGACGTCGCTTGACCAATGAGAACCAGGCCCACTGAACGAATTTTCGATTGACGGCCACAAGGTATCTAAAGATTTCTTTATCCCTTCCAACATCTTCTGGGCGTTGGTCTCCGTAGTTTGTCGCCATCAGGCCTCCTGTTCATTGAGACTAGCTTCTCAATACCATATAACATTCTACTTAATTCTCGAATCTAACCCGGTTCGAGTTTCGAGTCCCACTACCGATTCGCGGCTGAGGATTCGCCTCCCCGAAGATTATCGATAAGGGCTTCTAATAGAAGGTCGAGGATTGATTCTTGGATTTTGAAAACACCCCACCTGAAAGGCTTTCGGTCGCCCCTCTCTATTTTCTCCTTCCTCTCCCCGCTATCGATCCACTTTCGTCGAGCCTTTTTTCACTTGCGTTCACGACCCTACGCAGACTTTTGACCTTCTACCTGGCTTCTCCCTTTACCTCCCACCCTATCACCTCCCCCCATATATACCGCCAAAATGGTGTCTGCTTCCAAAGCCGCTCGTCTCGCCAAGCGTGCCGCCGATGGCGATAAGAAGAAGACCACCAAGTCGAAGAAGGATGTCAAGGGCGACGAGAGCCCTTTGGTTGACGCCGATGGCGAACCTCTCCCTACCGAAGATCAGCCCGCTACCACCGAGGAGAAGATGAAGGAAGTCGAGAAGCTCACGGCACAGATGGATAAGCACGGTCTGTCCGACCGTGTCACCACCGGTGTTCTGTCCTCGATGGCTTCTTCTCGCGACGTCAAGATCACCTCCGCTTCCCTCGTGTTTCACGGCAAGGTCCTCATCACCGACTCTACTCTCGAACTCAACTTCGGTCGTCGTTATGGTCTGCTCGGTGAGAACGGATGTGGAAAGTCCACTCTGCTCAAATCTATCGCCACTCGCGAGTTCCCTATTCCCGAGCACATCGATATCTACCTTCTGAATGAGGGTGCTCCTCCCAGCGACCTTGGCGCTCTGGAATGGGTCGTTACTGAGGCGCAGAACCAGCTGGACCGCATGGAGAAGCAGGCTGAGGAGATTTTGGAAAAAGATGGTCCCGAGAGCCCTATCCTGGAAGATCTCTACGACGTAAGTCCTTATGACTTCCCCAATACATAGCAATGTCGTGTACTAACATGAACCAGCGCATGGACAAAATGGATCCTTCCACCTTCCACACACGTGCCTCCCTGATTTTGACCGGTCTGGGTTTCAACAAGCAGACCATCCACAAGAAGACCAAGGACATGTCCGGTGGTTGGCGTATGCGTGTGGCCCTTGCCAAGGCCCTGTTTGTCAAGCCTTCTCTTCTGTTGCTGGACGACCCCACTGCTCACTTGGATCTCGAGGCCTGTGTGTGGCTGGAAGAGTACTTGAAGAAGTGGGAGCGCACTCTGGTGCTTGTTTCTCACTCCCAGGATTTCTTGAACGGTGTCTGCACCACCATGATCGACATGCGCATGAAGCAGCTCCTCTACTACGGTGGTAACTACGATTCGTACCACAAGACTCGCAGCGAACAAGAGACCAACCAGATGAAGGCCTACAACAAGCAGCAGGAGGAAATCGCCCACATCAAGAAGTTCATTGCTTCCGCCGGTACCTACGCCAACTTGGTCAGACAGGCCAAGTCTCGTCAGAAGATTCTTGACAAGATGGAGGCTGAAGGCTTCATTCAACCCGTTATCCCCGACAGAGTCTTCTCCTTCCGTTTCGCTGAGGTCGAGAAGCTTCCCCCTCCGGTTCTGTCCTTCGATGATGTTTCGTTCTCTTACTCTGGCAACTGGAACGACACTCTGTACGAGCACCTTGATCTTGGTGTTGACATGGACTCCCGAACTGCGCTGGTCGGCCCTAACGGTGTCGGCAAGTCTACTCTCCTCCGCCTCATGACCGGAAAGCTCCAGCCCATCGCCGGTCGTGTTAGCCGTCACACTCACTTGAAGCTCGGCATGTACAGTCAGCACTCGGCTGAACAGCTGGACTTGACCAAGTCCGCACTGGACTTCGTTCGCGACAAGTTCCCCGAGAAGAGTCAGGACTACCAGTACTGGCGTCAGCAGCTCGGTCGCTATGGTCTGAGCGGTGAATCCCAGACTGCCCTCATGGGTACTCTGTCCGAAGGTCAGAAGAGTCGTATCGTCTTCGCTCTGCTGGCCATCGAAAGCCCCAACATGATTCTGCTCGACGAGCCTACCAACGGTCTCGATATCCCCACTATCGACAGTTTGGCAGATGCCATCAATGCCTTCAGCGGTGGTGTTGTTGTCGTGTCCCACGACTTCCGTCTTCTCGACAAGATCGCCAAGGACATCATGGTGTGCGAGAACAAGACCATTCGCCGCTGGGACGGCACTATTGGCGAGTACAAGGATCACCTGCGCAGGAAGATGGTCTCCGAGGGTGCTGTCTAAAGCGCATTCCGTCTCTGCATTTTTGTTACGATTGGAACGTTTAGAGATGACCCCCAAAAAGTGCGGCAGGGAAGGAAAAAGTTTTCTTCCAGGAGTGATGACGTATCCTGGAGCCAGTCATATAGTGCTGACTTGCGTTTTTCTTTTACATATTTGTGTTGGAGATATTCTTCTGCTTTTTTCTCTCTCATTGTTTGGGTGCGCCTTTTAGATGGTCCGTTTTCATCCCTCTCATCCTCCTACTAGAGCTGAGCCGAGCCGAGCGTGATGGCTAAATTCCATGTTGCTTTACTTTTTCATCATCATCCCTATGATACCTGTTATAGACACTTCATATAGTCTCATTAAATTCTGTCGGTCATCATTGTAAGTCTGGCCGATGAATGACTATAATATCCATTGCACATGAGCTGTCTGATAGTCTTGACTCTATGCCCTTCTGATGTGTATGTAGTCTATAGAGTAAGGGTTATTGGACTCGATTCATCTTCCCTTTTAAACAAGATCATTGACAAAAGGTACATTGATTAATTAGGCTGCGGCTTTTGTTCCACTACCGAAGTCTATTCGAAGAAAAGAGGTATATTTCAGTTTCCTCACCACATTAGGCCTACGATGGATGTTGTTGCTCGCCAACTTGCCCCTCCTTGACCCGTTGCGCCACCAGCTCCCCGCCAAAGATATCTCTCGCCTCCCGATCCTTCTGCTCCCGCTCCAGTTTCCGCTTCTTCGCCTGCCGCTCGACTTCACTTTCCGAGGTGGCGCCTTCGCCTGCCGACGCGGCGGCGGCGGCAGCAGCAGCAGGGATCCGTTTCTGCCCGGCAAGGGAGATCTTCTCCGGGTTCTGGCAGTAGTAGAACTTCTTTCCGATGCGTTTGAGGTTCTTCATTTGCTCTGGGTCGGAGCTGAGGGGCTTATATGATTGCAGGAGGGCAGCGCACTCGTTGAGTGTGCGGAAGAGTTTCACGCGCAGGTCGTAGAGCGGGTTCCCCACTTGTGCGTTGGAGCTCTGAGCGGCTGGCCCGCCGAGTTTCGTGTCGAGGTAGTACTCAGCCATGGGGCGATCGGCGAGCATGAAGGCCGCCAGCCAGATCTGCGAGGGTGTGTAGAGGAAGTAGGCGTCTGTCATTTGGGCGGCGGTTTTGAGGAGTTCGCGGGTTGTGGTGTGTGCGCGGCCGATCCGGTCTGTAATTGAGGAGGACTTGGGAGCGTCTGGTGCTGCGGGGACGGCGAGGAGTCCGCGGCGTAGGTCTTCTGATGTCTGTTGAGGGAGGTGAGGTGCGGGCTGGCCCAGGCCTTCGGCCATGGCTTGGAGTTCCATGACGCCGCCTTCGAGGCCGCGGAAGGGGTGGCGGACGTCGAAGGTGAAGCGGAGACTTTGCATGATGAGGAATTCTGGCGCGATGATGTCTTCTGCAGTTGAGTCGCCTGGGACCTTTTCGGCGAACTGGCGCAGGGACATGTAGAAATTGTCCGTCTTGGTAGCAAGGAAGAGCGCGCAGGGCATGATAGTCTTGGGAGAGTAGGTCATTGGCGAGTTGCTGAGATAGAATCGACGGATGTATTGAATCGCAGTGGCCTGTTAGAGAGACATGCGACGTTAGTTATTTGTCGTTCGCGGTTATGCGCTTCAACACCAGACGGGGTTACGCACCCGCACTGTCGTCGGCAAGGGTGGCTTATACGTGTCTGCCAGCTCCACGGCCTTCTCGCAATAGAACCTCACTAACTCCTTCTCTTCTTCTGGTGTCAAACAGTCAATGTCCTTCTCTTCCGCTCCTTTGCCATCTCCGGTAGTCCCTGCTGTAGGAGTCCCCGCAGCCGACGAGTTGGCTGACTGTCGTGCCTCCCGCGCTCTCCGCAGTGCCGCTCGGACTCGTTGGCTAGCGACGGCATTTGTGTTCTCCCTTAAGGACCGCAAGGACGCCTCTGTGAAAGACCAAAGTTTATACTGTGACGAGGTGCGATAGATATCGTCCTCAAACATCCTGCTTTTGGTGGAGCTCGATCGTTAGGCCCCGCGGACGTGAGCAATGGCAGAAGTAAGAAGAGAAAAGAACAATATAATTGCGATAATAAGGTGGTATATTTTATACCAACACTAATAGATTTCCATCGGCGTATCAAGAGAGCAAGCTGTGTTGAAAGAGGAAGAATCGGGAGACGATCAAGCTGGGCGGAGTTTAAGAAAGAATGGAGACCCACCGCTTATCGATATCAGATTGTTGCCAGCCCGTCCTAGCTAAAATAAGCCCAGCAGCGACATTCTACAACGATGAAGTGTATTTCGGAAAGCCCGATATCAAGTTTATGGTAAGAGCCAGGAAATGGAAAGGAAGCATGAAGTAGAACGGCCACGAGAGCCGGAAACTAGCAAAGAATAATTCATGGAAACATGACATAAGGCAGTTATTGCTCCCAACGATAAACAATCATAGAAATAGCTTGGAATCTCTTGAAAATAGAGCGTTCGCCAGGCACCATGCATTCGATCGGTTTCATCCGCTATTCGTTGCTCAAAAATAGATCAAAGTGTCATAACGTCCTCACTCACGGCTCACCTAGGAGCCGTGCGGTAACATCACCCATATAAGCTTCATCCAATTCATAATCTTCTCCATTCATTCGATCAATGCCGTAAAATTTGAACGCCGCCACCACTCGATCCACATCGAAGCCCATGCTGCAGAATCGATCGATCAGGTCTTTGTTATATCCGTCGTACCTATTGACATGTATGAGATACGCTTCTCTAGATGCATTAGAAAAAGTGGCAATGGGTGGTTACGTACTTGGAAAGATCTTCCCTTTCTTGCTCCGCCTTGGACCTGAGCTCCTCTTGGCGGAGAGTTTCGTCTGTTGCTCCTCCACTACCCTCCCCAGCGTGTTTTCGGGGAGCCCCAGCGTGGATGACGGCCCATTCCCGGGCGACACGCTCAAACTCTTTCGGCCTTCGCAGTAGCATGGTGGCTACCTCTGCATCTTGCGGATCTTTGGGCTCAGGAGTGCTGAGTAAGGATTGCAGGGATAAAAGTGCGGATTTGATGGTCAGCACCGGCGACCACGCCGATGACAGCGTATCGAGGCAGATAGCGCCCTAAAGGAACATTAGAGATCGTCCCCTAACCGAACAGACGGCTTGAGGCTGACGATACTCACCGTTTGGCTGCTCACATTAGGATGCCAGACCCTGGTCACGAACTTCATGACAGGCGGTCGAAATGGGTAGTCGTTGGGTATTTTGATATCAATTTCGTAAGTACCACCTTCATACGGTGTACCCGGGGGGCCCGGAAACGTGCCACGCAGATGTGTTATATCGTCATCTCCTTCCACCGGTTCGGCAGTAATTTGCGAATGTGTATCCGCCCGAATATCCGCGATCTCCTTTGCGATACGCCGCGTTCGATTCGAAGCCATAGGTTAAGTGGAATGATCGATCGAGTGACGAATACTGTAAGCGATGAACCACGCTTAGGAGTAGATGATGTGGTTTGGTGAACCGAATTTGATCCAAACGATAGTCTCCGGAGTCGCTAACTATGGGACAACTTGGTACTTATTAGCAAGAGCGATCAGTCATTTTCTGTATCAATCTGAATTGTTAAGGCGAGCAGGGAGAAGGTGGGACGGGACGAGCCAGAGAAAATAAGTAAACATGCTTGTTGGTATTAATAGATGAAGGTATCTTGAGCCTCACTTTCTTTCGAGGAGTGGAGCTCGAGGAGAGTTGGATGAGGGGACGATAAGGCAGATGAGGAGTAGTTTGGACACTCACAGAATAGCTCAACAGAGCAGATATATGAACGCTATTTGCAGCAGGACAGCTTAAAGCTGAGGCTCTAAGGAGGGAGAATCAAAAATGCAAAAACCTTAGACTATATTGTGCTGTGTGTAAGGCAGAAAGCTACCTACCTTAAGCTACCTGACTACAGAGTGTTCTAGATACTAGGTAGGTCTACTGTAAAGAGGCCATATTTACTTGCGCGCAGCCGCCCGAGTGACGCTTGAATTCCACTATCATTCGCCAGTAAAAAGCATCAGGCTGCAAGGCTGTCAACCGTGGATCTTCCTACCCAGATTGGTAGTAGTGCTCTACGTAACATAGATGCCTTAGGCAAAATACAAGGCGGCATGTCACGTGTAAGAATGTTGGCTGCCAAGACCGGACCAGATGGCGACAACAGCTTACCTGAGAGCTCTCCGTCTGTCTCTCCAGCGGAAGCTTCACTCGCTCACTACCTTAACGCCTTCATCCACCCTTTATCATCAACCACCTCCCTCAACGACTCCTGCTGATATCAAGGTTATTGTCGTCAGGAGCCTAATTCTGGTACCACTCCTTAACTCTTTTCTGCACCGACTCTGGGAACATGGTATGTATATCAGAGCGCTTTCGTCATTAGTGCCTTGGTTGCCTTGTCCCGTTCGAGCCAGACTAACATGTCTTGAAAACAGGGTAACCAGCAGTCAAACATCGGTGGAGGCCCTGGTGGGGATGGAAGAGATGACAAGGATAAGAAGGTGAGTCGACGTCTTTGACACGCCTTCGGACGCCGCGAGTCCAGTAGCTGACAAAGCCTACGTCTCCAGAAGGAGAAGCCTAAGTACGAACCACCACCACCACCTACAACCAGGATTGGGCGGAAGAAGCGCAAGGCTGCAGGCCCTAGCACTGCGTCAAAACTTCCCGACATTTTCCCTACCTCACGATGTAAATTGCGATATCTTCGAATGCAAAGAGTCCATGACCATCTGTTGCTCGAAGAGGAATATGTGGAGAATATGGAGCGTCTGCGCAAGGCCAAAGCTCAGGCAACGCAGGACTCTGTGAGCCGAGGCGACCTGGATATTATGGACAGAAATGCGGACGAAAGGAGCCGCGTGGATGACATGAGAGGCAGCCCCATGGGGGTCGGCAACCTGGAAGAGCTGATTGACGATGACCATGCGATTGTCTCGAGCGCTACCGGCCCCGAGTACTACGTTTCTATCATGTCCTTCGTTGATAAGGATCTGCTGGAGCCCGGTGCCAGCATCCTTCTGCATCACAAGTCTGTATCTGTCGTTGGTGTGCTGACGGAAGAGTCCGATCCCCTGGTCTCAGTCATGAAACTCGACAAGGCACCAACCGAGTCGTATGCGGATATTGGTGGTCTTGAGTCGCAGATTCAAGAAGTCCGAGAGTCCGTCGAGTTGCCCTTGCTCCACCCGGAACTGTATGAAGAGATGGGTATCAAGCCGCCAAAGGGTGTCATTCTCTACGGTGCTCCTGGTACCGGTAAAACCTTGCTTGCCAAGGCTGTTGCAAACCAGACCAGCGCCACTTTCCTTAGAATTGTCGGAAGTGAGCTGATCCAGAAGTACCTCGGAGATGGTCCTCGGTTGGTGCGACAGATTTTCCAGGTTGCTGCCGAGCACGCGCCCTCGATTGTCTTCATCGATGAAATTGACGCCATCGGTACCAAGCGTTACGACTCTACGTCTGGCGGTGAACGAGAAATCCAGCGTACCATGTTGGAGCTTCTCAACCAACTGGATGGTTTCGATGACCGCGGTGATGTAAAGGTTATTATGGCCACGAACAAGATTGAAACTCTGGATCCTGCCTTGATCCGTCCTGGTCGTATTGACCGAAAGATCCTATTCGAAAACCCAGACCGTGAGTACCGTTCTAAGGAGCTTGCTGTGGCTCACTGACTAACAATCCACAGAAAATACCAAGAAGAAGATTTTCACCCTGCACACGTCCAAGATGTCCCTCGGAGATGACGTTGACCTCGACGAATTCATCAACCAGAAGGACGATCTCTCTGGTGCCGATATTAGAGCCATTTGCACAGAGGCCGGTCTGATGGCGCTGAGAGAGCGCCGTATGAGGGTACAGATGGATGATTTCCGTGCCGCTAGGGAACGGATCATGAAGACTAAGCAGGATGGCGGTCCTGTTGAGGGCCTGTACTTGTAGGTGGGGATATGGTCAATAGGTGCTTTGTGTCTACGTAGTTGAGCAAGATGGCTTCGCTTAAAGAGCCTTTCAATGATGTATTTTACCAGTGAACTGAGCTGCCAATCTCTATGGTGATGCTTATACTCCGTATAGTTCGGTGACGGTGAATTACGTGTGCACAGGTCACCCGAGCTGCCCTGAAGTCTCGTGTGACCCATACCCCGAGCACGTGACTGCCAAGCCAGTTACTCAGCAGCTTGATCTTGCGCGACCTATTTAATACTTTACATTAGTAGCTGGAATTCATTTTACCTTCACTTACTTTATCTTTACATATTAGTATTATCCTTAAGCACTTAGGAACTGGTTTTTAAGCAGTTAAAAGATGGAACCTACCGAGCCTAGTATTTGTCTTGATGATGACCTCTTTAGGTGTCTCACGGAGTCACGGTCTCACCCTCCCCTGACTACGAGCACGGGCGGACCACTCCCTTTTATTGCCCATGCCAGTGGCTACTTCAACACAATCTACAACTTGGGGAATAAGCCTTGAGCAATATAAGGGCTATGGCTCAGTTAGACCAATTGCCAATCGAAGTCCTTCTTTTCATCGCAGAGTATTTGCCCGGCCAAAGGGACATCAACGCTTTAACGCAAGTCAACCGAAATCTTTACCACCATCTGCATTTCTTTCTATGTCGATATAATGTCAAGCATCATCAGGGCTCAGCCTTGATATGGGCCGCCAAGAAGGGACATATCCGTTTGGCAACGAAGCTACTCAATGCTGGCGCAAACATCGCACACTTCGAGAGCCCAGCAGAAACAAATCATGACAGAAATACTCGTCTTTCGGAAATTGAGAACCCGCTCTTGCTTGCCGCCCAGGGTGGGCGTATTGCAATCCTCAAATCCATGCTTTCTGAGACACGGCCGGGTCAAGCATGTTCACCAGCTCAGCTGCGCACTGTCCTCCATTGGGCCATCCGCGCTCGCGACAGTGAGCTCGTGGAACTCATGATCCATCAAAAGGCCCCCTTAGATCCAGCAGGGGAGGAGCGGGAAGCGCTCTCCGCCTTGGGGGTTGCTGTAGTCTCAAGAGACGAATCCATCATTCCCCGTCTGCTCAACGCGGGTGCACGGCCAGGTCAGAACGAAGAACCGTGCCCCATCGCAAGGGCCATAGAAACTGATCAACCACAAGTCGTCAAACTTCTTCTTGAGCATGGTATCAGACTCAACAGCGATACAGGTCTATGCTTTATAGCAAGCCGAAACGACAAGATCCTACTCCAATGTTTCATTGATTATGGACTGGATTTGAGCATGGACGGCCATGCAGCGTTGTTCACCGCTATCATGGATGGCCAATACGAGATGGTCGAGTTTCTCATTGAAGAGGGCGCAAACCCGCATCTGGAGTGCGAATTATGGACACATGATGAGAATGGCTTTTTTGAGACACTCTTTTATAGCTCCATAGGGTTTGCTATTCACTTTCGGCGCCTGCAAATTCTGAGGCTCCTGCTAGCAAAGGGTGTCCTCCCAGGGCAGGGTGATTTGTGCTTAGCAGTGAAGAAGGAGTTTGAGGAGGCAGTGGCACTGCTATCCAAATTCTCTAACCAAGACTTACCCCAAAAGGAGAGTATAGAGAATTATCTCCTTTGGCAACAGATAAACAGACAAGATAACGGTCTTGACTTCGAGATCCCGCATAAGTCGTGGTTCGTTTTCGATTCTACTTTGCCTCAAGAGCCCGAGAAGCCGGCGGGTCCTTCAGGTTGTGAATGTGATATACTTGTACAATACGGATACTAGAAGACTATCACGTACTACCTAGTATCTTTTGTGCTGGTAATGTAATCTTGTATCTTATTTCTTCTGCATTGCCAAGGTAGGATTGTTTTCCAAATTACCATATAAACTATCAACCAGGCAAAGATTTGCAACAGGAATTAGCAGTCCTTCCTCCGTTACTTTGCTATTCTGTTTTGCCACCCCCACAGGCAAACATTGCACATTCGGAGTAGACCGGGATTGAATGGACATTGGAGGTGAGTTCTCTTCTAAGCGATTCACTGGGGGTTGGCTCTTCCAGTATCCACTACCAAGGCTTAATAAATCATCCTTTGCCTTCGTCTGTCTGGCAAAGTGACAAGAGCGGGTCGTCCCCCTACTAGGGCGGTATCCAGATGATTGCATTATCCTAATTGAGTTCTCGCTCATCTTACGTACTGTGACAGCTAACAGAGAGTCTTGTTCTGTCCTGCACTTAGTATTATTCGGATAGTTCTCCCTTGCCATATACCAGGTCAAGAGCTCTACCGACGAGCCACAAAACTTGATTCCCCAGGCTATCCTCTTCCATTTCCCCCTGCCGCCAATGGACGTTCCAGAACCAGGGCTCATCTGCAAGGGAATCTCGTTGGTGATGGACACCGTAATCTCATGGCGAATCCAGATCCAAAAGTTTGGACGGTCAATGCCGACTGATTGCGCGCTGATACCGTACATCTGAATAAGCTTCGTAGCTCCTTCGAAGTGTCGGCGATACTCTTGGCCTTGGGTCGCCAGGACCTCGTAGCTGCTCAGGATAATTACGGCACTTAGAGTATCATCCTCAGGGGCAGGGCTGCGAAGTTGCTGAATCAAGAGATTCAAGGCTTGGGTATAGTATTTGGTGGCGACCGGCACCCAGATTTCTCCGGAGGCCACGAGGCCCAGCTGTCTTGCCGTGAAGGCACAGACGCAGGTAAGAAGCAGCTCTGAGGTCAATGATCGACGCGCAACTATCTATCAACTTATGAAAATGTCCTCTATTAAGATTGAATCTCTTTGTGAGCCTTTCCATTTGCGGGATTTGGGGGATTTGGGGCATCCGAACATCGTGAAACCGGGAAATCCGTTCAAAGCGGCTGACCGAGGGTTTATATATCGAAGTCCAGTCAGTTCGATGCGGTAGAGATACACGGAACGTCACAAATACGGATTGTCAAGCAGATCAAAATTGAGCGCAGCAAGGCTCAGGTTGAGGCGCTGAGGACGACTTCCCATGAGAACCCTGTCAATCTGAGGAGGTTTTCCTGGAGGATAACATGATCTTCTTGATATATGAGGAATGGGGAATACCGCTGGAGAATATATACTCTGTCTTCCATCTCGGAGAAGTGGAGATTGCCACCATTTGTAAGGGTGTAAGTCGTAAGTGCGACCTTTTATGAGCACAGTTACTGATAAAAGATAGGTTCTACATGGCCTGGCATGCATCCATGACGTCCTTGATCTCTACCATGGTGCCATTAATGTGAGAAATATTCTCATTTCGGCAGATGGTGGTGTTAAAATAGGTAGGTTGAGCCGACTGGAGTATAATTCTGTCCCACTGACACTGCTAGCGAGCATTGGCAACAGTATGATACAGCAACTCGACCATCATCAGCAGTGCTGGGATATTTGGGCAGTCTGCTGTATGGCTGAGGCACTCTTAGGGCCGAAAGGTGATATGGGTACAAGGGGCATATTAGGTTGTCTCGCAGACGATTTTGTGCAGCCATGGCCAGCCGCGACTGCAGAGGATCTTCTAAAGGTGTGAGAGCTAGCGCTTGATCCTAGACAACAAGCTAATGAGTTAGAAAGGCATCCTTTCCTTCAATACAGCTCTGGAAGCTGGTGTTTAAGCAGGTCAAGAGACATCTACTTGATCACCGGTTCGTGGATGAGCTACATCCTGAGTGTGTGATGTACTAGCTCCTTGGTTTGCAGGCTAGCAGTTGCATTGAATATTGATTACTTCTTTTCATATTTCAAGTACTAAATAAAAGAAAATGTTGCTGTGCTGAAATGCACCTGACAGGGTATAGAAATCATGATACATAAAGAAAGGGACTGTTTTTGATCTGAGCTGTTGGGTGACATTGATGTCACATCAAGAGCAAGCACAGGCGGCGCCCCATGACGAAGCAATGAGGAGACTAAGGCAGGCTAGGCTTATTGTCCCTCCCATTTCTCTAGTTTGAAGTGGCTTTGCGGTTCGGTTACGACTGCGCGTTGATGGTGGCCGATTAAGGATCTATTTCCGGAGAGAGAAGTGTCCTGAATTGTAAGGTTCCCATTGAAAGCGCCGGGCCACAGTTTCAGCATGCCCTCATGGTGGCCATTGCAAACTGAGGATGTAAGCGCGCGTGTCGACTATATAGCCCCTATTGCAGAGGCTCAATCGTGGCCACAGGGAAATATGGCTTCTCTTGTATTGGGTATATAGGGTGGACACGTATATAGGGTGGACATAGTGATTCAAACCTGATCTCAGATTTAATCCTAACTTTGTTATTGCTGTTTCAATAGCATCATAATAACATGTTGGTGTACGCCTTTTATTTTACCCTCTTTGCCTTCCAGGCACTATCAAAAAGTGTTAAGTTTGTCTCCCCGTCGCAAAGCAAGACTTCATTTCTCATATCGCGGATTAGTTTCGACGAAAAAATCACGGTGGAGCTTGACGAAATAGATGACCGAGTGGTACATCATGTTTCCGTTAACTCTAATAATATGTTTGTGCCAAATAGATTGAACGCAAATATCGGCGACCAAGTGAGTTTAGGTTCCACCGCCTGAATCGTACCTTGACACAGTCAAGTCTGGAGGAGCCATGTTCCTCCATTGGCGAGTTCGATACAGGATTCAAACAATTTAATCCTGAGGACAAGAATAATCCTATTATCACCTTGACAGTCAACTCTCTTGATCCGCAATGGTTCTTTTGCAAACAGACTCAACCATCATCTCACTGTCATGCTGGAATGGTGTTTGCACTCAACCCAGGTGATAAGATGGGAACTTTCCTTCAGAATGCAAGGAGAGCTAGCAGTGACCCAGTTTCTAGCATCCTGTCTGGGCCTGTTCTGGGGCTTATTGCAAGCTCTGCAAGTCCATTTCTTAGTGTTTCCAGCCCTGCCGCCACTTCCGCTGCCACTCCTGCTTCCTCTTCTGCTTCCTCTTCTGCTTCCTCTTCTGCTTCCTCTTCTGCTTCCTCTTCTGCTTCCTCTTCTGCTTCCTCTTCTGCTTCCTCTTCTGTTGCTTCTTCCTCTTCATTATTTAGCCGGATTCCTGACAATGTTTCTGGCAATATAATTGCCCTGAGCTCTACCCACATTTCTTTGATGGTGAGTCCAGTGACAGTGATAACTGTAACCCAAATGGTTAGCTGCACTGGGACTACTGATCCAGCATCGGTTAGACGTTCGACCTCCATGTCTGATCTCACATCAGAAGGAGATTGGTCAACAGTTGCTCCCCTTGGTGCAAGCTTGTTTACTTTACTTGCTATGGTTATGATGTTATAGATTACCAGCAAGCTCCTTCACTTCCCACAATGCTTCTGTTCTAAATCTATCATTTGGTGGACTTGATTAATTTTGAATCTGATTTTCCCTGTTTAATAGTCTTTCTCCCTAGTCAATCAAAACAGATCGGAAAGGACACAGCCACCCAATCAGTAAAGTTAAAGAAATTAGTTAGGAATGTAAACAGACAAGGCACAAAGTAGCACTGGATAGCAATGCACTAGAGCCAACTTATTAGGAGCATTTCCAACTAGCACTTTGAGAATCATGCTTTCAGAGCGGTTCTTCTAGGCTTATTTCGAATCTTGACTACGCTAAAGAGCTTGTGGGTTGCAAAGTGTCTCTGCAGCGTATCTTTGTGAGCATATGTATACGCTTTTGCCCTAGGATGGCCAGGGCCACCAAGGCATACTGGGCATTCAAGCCCACTTTCACTCTTTAGGGGAAAAGGGTTTTTAGTGACTAAATCAGTGGAAGCTTCATTGAAATGGATTCTTTTCTGCAAAACTCTTGGCAGGTCGAGGTTGTGGAGAGCCAGGCACATCTCCAGGGATTGGATCTAGTCCTCCACTAGCTTGGTGTCATTAACTTTGTCCACATCTCTATTCTTAAACTCAAGGTCTGCAAGAGCTCTTCTCTCTGGTACTATATGTGAGGTGTCTGGCTTAAAAGTAATTGGCTGGCCCTGATAGTTGCCTTTAATGATGTGATTTCTAATGCCTTCAAAAAATTCTTCATATTGTTTCTCCTTGGCGGCCTTATGTAGCTTCTTTCTTTCCGCTCTGACTTTATGCTTAGCCTTTTGGAACTCCCTGTATAGATCTGTGTCGTGAGCTTTACATACCTGATGTTGTAGTGTGATTAACTCAGCCTAAAGCATGTCGCGCTAGTGCTTCAGACTAGTGAGGTTGGGATTCTTCTTATGTTCTTGCTTTTACTGATTGCTCAGATCTTACAGTACGGATGCATCATGAGTTAAACTTGAATTAGTAGCGAGCTTGATTAAAGAAGTTCTTGCAGGGGTTTCCATGAAGGCAGATTGGGTATCATCCTGGACCTGGACATAGTAGGCGAAGGTACCACTTCTCTTGTGGCCCATGATAATATTCCGAGAGTGCTCATCGAGATGTCCTACAGCTATGTCAACATGTATAAATGGCAGGTAAAGGGCATTCCTTACTTAAGTTAGCTGCAGCCCCTTTCTGGTATTTATACAGAGAGCCAGGAGTCTTTAAACCTGCTGACCTGCTGGTGGTTCTTATATTCCTCTGCTTGATCATATTGGTAAGCTAGTGCGGGATGAGTGATCCACCTTCCCTCAGAATCTTTCACAGGGTGATGAAATATTAGAATTTCCTTCATGCTCTCTTTGAAGTGGATCAGGGTGCTGAGTTGATGGGCCGGGACATGGGTATAGAGCTAGATATCTTGAGGCTTCTTGATATGCTCACTGGCAAAAGCATTGTCAAGAAAAGCATATTTCAGTATGTCTTGGATAACGCAAAGGCTAAGGTTATCATTCTGCTTGGTGTATGTGTAGACTGGTCTTTGAAAGATTAGCTGATTTTAAGCTGGGTAAGAGATTAGACTTATGGGACACCCCGGTTTCTCCTGCCCTTGTTTAACCTATGCTTGACTTGCATGAGCAGCATCTGATAATTTGGATCTTCTGGGTGTTTCACTATATAGAGTTTAACATCCTTTTATTTCAGTGAGTCATTGCTTCTCATGTATCCAGAGGACTTGATAAGCGTTCTAGGGTGTGTAGATGTTGAAGCCATCATCTTTCGCAATGTACTATGCTGGTGTTGACGCTGTACCGTGGTGAATTGCACTTTGCTGACAGCCATGAGATGATAGGTACTGAAGAGAAGATCATTGATGTTAACAGGTGGCTGAGTCTTTGCTCCTAAGTCAAGCTTGTACTCGTCGGTTAGTGTGGTGCATACAAGCTAGCAAAATCAGCTTGATCTTTATCTCCTGAAAATTTCCTTACCATAGTCATCTTACGCCTCAGTGCGTACGGAAAGAGACTATCCATTTCTTGGCACCAGAAGATTCTACAGTATCGTGCAAAAACCAAAAATCCTGACTGATACTCAACATTATGGTTATCCAGATACCAGCGAAAGAAACCTTCAATCACTCTCAGAGTGATATTCTTCAGCCAATAAGCAAGTCTGGAGGTTGGAGCTTCGATGTAAACTTCTGGAAATTTCGTTTGACATGACGGACATAACCCTTGGTAGTATCTGCGAGATCATCCTCAACCTTTGGCTCGGACTGCTGAACGAAGCTGTTCCAATCAATATCTGCTGTCTTTATTTTGCCTCTAACCATTGGAACTGAATAAGTCTGTATGCTGCGTGATCAGAATATATACACATGAACATGTTGGAAAACGACATCTTAAGCAGGAAGAAGAAGGCCCTTTATCTTTTTCCCCCCCTCCTTGTCCTTTTTGCTCTACTCCTTGTACTCACGGTGTAGGCGCCAGGCTCATCTCAAGATGTTCACAGCGCTAGGACAGACTGAGTAAGGTTGACTATTACTCATAAAAGCGGCGATTCACAGCGTGGAAAGGCCACAATTTCTGGCCCAAAGGCCACGCATAACCATGTCCTTTCCGTCGTCACCCAGACTTACTCCATAATATTGGACTTTTGATAAGCCGATATCATAGTTAGTATTCGCTGTAGATGCAAACGCCGCAAACATTGCAAAAGTGGCAAACGGAAGCTGTTGAAACATTATTGGCATCATCAAGTCATTTTCCGATTAGCTTCGAACACGCACGTTACAAGATTTCTCGATCACAATGGACGGGTTCGATGAAGAAGCATTCAAGAAATTTTTTCCGAGTGGCTTCGGCAAGCAACAAAAGCAGCTTGATGTGAATGCCCAGATCAACCGCACCAAGCGGTCGGAACTTTCAGCCAAACCAGATGGCGATAAAAAGGAAGACACTGACAGCAAACCTGCAATCGAAGACGCTCAAGGCGAAGATGACACAAAAGGACACGCCCGAAAAGCCGATTCAGAAGATGATTCCGACGACGATGATGACTCTGACGAAGAGGAGGAGGAGGACGAATTCCCAGTCTCTCATGAGCTTCTTATTAAGACGCATGAGCGCGCAGTGACGACCATGACGGTGGATCCGTCAGGAGCGCGACTGATTACCGGCTCGACTGACTGCACGCTCAAGCTCCATGACTTTGCCTCTATGACACCGTCCACTGTGCGCGCATTCAAATCCGTCGATCCGACTGCTAAGAAGCAATCCGCCGCCCAAGAAACACACCCGGTGCACTATGTCGCATTCAATCCTCTGTCCCCAAGTCATGTCATGGTCATTTCGGCGACGCCGCAACCTCGGATCCTGGACCGTGACGGCGATACCTTGACCGAATTCGTGAAAGGGGACATGTACCTGAGAGATCTTCATAATACCAAGGGCCATGTAGCGGAAGTGACTAGTGGCGCTTGGTCTCCGGCCGATTACAACTTGTGTGTCACCGCAGGAACGGACAGCACAGTTCGCATCTGGGACGCAAACGTCGGGCGATCGCAAAAGGAAGTCATTGTACACAAGTCTAGGGTGGCTGGATCCGCTGGTCGGAGCAAGATGACTGCCGTCGCATGGGGCTCCCCCAAACAGGGCGGTCCTAGTATTCTCGTCGCTGCTGCCCTCGACGGAAGCTTGCTGATGTGGGGCGGGAATGGACCGTTCACTCGGCCTAGTGGGGAGATCAGAGATGCCCATACTCGTGATACATGGACCAGTGGACTGGACATCAGCTCCGACGGAAGACTAGTGATCACCAAGGGAGGGGACGATACCATCAAGCTCTGGGACACTCGAAAATTCAAACAACCGATCACCACCGTCTCGCATCCGTCGAGTTCAGCTCGTTATCCGTCTTCCAACATTGTCTTCTCACCTACGTCGGCCAATGTCATTACGGGCTCAGAGACTGGCCATCTACACATCCTGAATCCAGCTACGCTGAAACCCGAGCTTGTCACGCCAGTCACACCTGGGTCACCTCTCATCACTGTTCTCTGGCACGAAAAGCTCAATCAGATCATTACTGGTTCCGCCAACGCCGAGACACATGTTCTCTACAATCCCACTATGTCGACCAAGGGAGCTGCCTTGGTCATGTCCAAAGCGCCTAAACGTCGCCATATCGACGATGATTCGTCGCTTACAACGGACCTGTCTGCTGGTATCTCGGGCGACTCCGTTGTGGTCGGATCGAACGGAGTCCCTCACTACAGCTCGGCTACCTGGTCTGCCCGCCATCCAACCATCGGGCTCACGGCTTCGGGTCGTTCCAGGGACCCGCGACGACCACACCTGCCGGCAACTACTCCTTTCGCAAAATCGCAGCCGGATGAACGGCATATCCGCGAAAATATTCCTCTTAGTTCCATGCGAGACGAAGACCCTCGCGAGGCGCTGCTGAAGTACGCCGAGAAAGCCGAGAAGGACCCGATTTTCACCAAGGCATGGAAAGAAACACAGCCAGTACCGATATTCCGAGAGCTCAGCGATGACGAGGAAGAGCAAGAACCCGATAAGAAGAGGGCCAAGCGGTGAAAGGATCGCCCCAAAAGAGCCTTTCTACCTTCCTGGTTTCCTGGCATTTTTACATTCTCCTGCAGCTTGGGTAGGTGTCCTTTCAAGCGCTAATGTATATATAGGCAAGATGGATGGCGTTGCGGGGGAACATGATTTTTCTGTTTAATGTAATCAGATCCAAAACTATCATTGATGGACTAGCATCAACAATTAGAGATACCCTCATCCGTATGCATTTATCAGGATTGTTATGCTTATTAGACTCAAGTAGCGGACAGAGAGTTGTCAGCTGGTGGGAAATTCGATGTTCGATGACGTTGG